GTGGGGGGGGGTGGGGTTGGTTTACGCTCTTTCCCTGCGGGGGGGTGTTCGGATGTGGGAGGGGGGGGGGGGGGGGAAGGTGGGTATATTTTGCTGTTCCAGAAGCCTTGTTTTTTTTTCAAATCAGCATTTTATGCAGGACTTGGTCAACTGCCTTCTTAAAATCCATATCAACGCACAGTTGTATTTCCTTCATCAAGCCTTTCCATTACTTCACCAAAATTTCTTCTGTTTACTACCTGTGTTCTCTGTCCTTAATAACTGAAATCTCTCCAAGCGCCTGTTAATCTTTTACATGATTGTTGTTGCAGAAACCTTAACACGACAGATGTTTAAAAAGTGACCAATCTGTATTTACTGAAAAAGTCCTCACAGCCTTTCTTGTACAAAAATGTCACTTTTGACACTTGGCAATCCTCTGGCACCTCTCTCTTATCTAGGTACAGTTGGAAGATTATATCAAGCCATTCTGCTATTTCCATCCCTATATCCTTTGCAATCTGCAACAACTGTCTTGGAAAAATGTTTCATCGTCATAAAACTTTACAGAACTATCATTACTCCACCAGGAAAATCTTATAAAAATCTTATTCTGACTAACTACATGGTTAAATGCATTAGGCATCTAGAAACAGAAAGCTCTATATAAAAAAAGATGAAGCTCTATGTTCAAAAAGGTAGAGCAAGTACAACAGAATGACAGCCACAAACGTTGTTGTAATACAATTCCTTTTCAAAACTGTTCTGAAGTACAATGGTGTCCAATCCTTTCAACACTTAACAAATACAGATATCTCACTAAGTTTTCCATGAATGAGATTCAGTGCACAAAAAAGGCAACAAGAAAAGTGAATCAGCTATGTTGAAAATCATACTGATGATGATGGATTAGACCAAAACTATTCACAAAGTATAATCTGAAATCTTACTCAGACTTCTGTAACAATAGAAATTATATAAGAGCAACAGAGCTGAAGAGCCAGCAGAGGAGGGATCTGATTTTAGAGATAATGGTCCATTTGCAAACCATCAGAAATTAAAATGCTTACAAATGATAACAGTAAGTTCCTCGATGTTCATATGATGCTACTTTAAAAGACTTTCTTCAAATTCAGTTCATAAAGCTTTGTGGCACGTTTTGACACACATAAGTAATCACACACTAGAAAAATCCTTCATAGGTGAGAATACAGCAGTTTCCTAAAACTGCCACCTCTGGAATTACACCATTAACGAGATGAAAAGCAAAAAAATAATGGAATCAAGAAGAAATATTTTTTCACATACTTGGCAATTAAAGACATTTTCAAGTTTCACACAAATATAAAACAAGCTACATCTGGATGTTCATCAACACCTATCTAGAGTAAGGTGATAGAAGTTGAACAAAAGCAACTTCTGATAACTGGTCTTCTAAAATTTACATTAACTTTTGAAAAAAGTTACATGACTTCTGTTCAGAATTACCCCATAGCAAAGCAATAAACATTCACAGACACCACCAGTTACACATACTTCATGGTATCACACTGTAGCTTCAACATACAATCTATATTTTTTTTTACCCCGACAGACTGAATTCCAACGCCAAACGTTAAGGGTTATTAATTTGTTGAAATATCTGGATAGTAGCATTCAGAGGAGGCTATTTTTGAACACAAAATAAATTAAAACAGGGCCAAGTTTTTAAAGAAAGATATAATTTCATGTCAAAAATAACTTAGAAATCTTTCCCTTTTCCCCATTTTGTATTTTTGCCAAGTCTCTGTGGGCCATGCACTACTCGTGGGCAAGAGAATGGAATAGGTGATTTTTTTTTTCTCCCAGAGTAACATCAACACCGCTTAAAACTAGATATAACATTAGGAACAAAAACAGATTGGCAGTGAGAGGTCATTAAATTCCCATTAACCACTGTAGTGACACATCTAGCCTCTAAATGTTTTAAATCCTATGCAGATTTTGTGCTGAAACCTGAACGTCCACAATCCATAGTTCTGCGTATTGAAGCTCCATAAACATCTTTGCATTTGTGAAGTAGTATAGTATAAGTGCTGCTCACTTACTGTGATATTGTTCAAAACAATAACAGGCAATACAGTTCCACAGGCCTGGTCTGTCATACAATTAGATCACAGATAATTCATATTTCGATTTCATCTAATTGGATTGGTTCCATATGCTTTACTAACAAAATCCTATGAATCACAGTTTTGAAATTTTTAAATGATCTGGCTTGAACACCCTTCATTTGGGAGATTTCCTGTACACTTGTGTGGAAAAGTTTTCAGACATCATCCTGATGGTTTAGCTCAAATTTAAGTTATGTTCCTTTCTGGACCCCCTCATTAAATCACTCAATAATACTGTACACTCAGGGGAATATGCACCTATTCAACATGCCCACAGACTTGGTAGTATCTGATGAACCCACACCATGTCTCCTCCAAGGTCAATATAGCCTGCTGAGGTGAGCTACCCAGAAATGGGCATAGTATTCCCAACACAATTTAACCATAATTTTATACAGCTATGACAAATGTTGCTTCTTTATTTATGGCCCTTTTCAGAAAAAAAGGTAGCATTCAATTAGTCTTTTAAGTTAATTAAGATGGGAAGGAGAAATTGAATTCTGAACTGAAATATTGTTCAACTAAAAAAATGGGGGATAATGTCATGCCAACTTTATGTATACCGTTGGGGTCAGATTGCGTTTGGTGTACTTTTTTTTATTCATTCACGGTATGAGGGTGTCGCTAGCTAGGCCAGCATTTATTGCCCATCCCTAATTACCCATAGGGCAGTTAAGAGTCAACCACATTGCTGTGTGTCTGAAGTCACATGTAGGCCAGACCAGGTAAGGATGGCAGTTTTCTTCCGTAAAGAGAGCTTTAACATTACTTTTTAAAAAGGTGGGATAAGAATGGCATGCTTATCTTTGACTTTTGCCTTGTGCATTCTTTTTCCCTTCAGCACATCATTGGAAGCATGCCTTGAGATATCTAGGCATCATGCACTAGGATACTCTCCCTAAAACATTCACTCTTCCTCAAATTTAAAATTCCTCTTCTAAATCCACATTTTTGATCAAGTCTTTGGATCCCCCGAGCTGTGTCCGTTATTTTGCTTAAGTCTCTGAAGTGATCGGAGATGTCTTACTTCATCAAAAATACAACGCAAATACAAGTTGTCGAATATGTCCGAGAGAAATCTTTAGCAACCAGATGGGTTTTTCCAACAATCGACAATGGATTCATGGTCGTCATTAGATTCTTAACTCCAGATTTATATCGAATTCAAATTCCACCATCTGCTATGGCAGGATTTGAACATGGGACTCTAGAACATTACCTAGATCGCCAGATTAACAGACCATCAATAATTGCACTCAGCCATCAACTCCTCCACTGTGTCCTGTTCTAATTCTTAACACAAAAGATGAAGAAAATTTTTGACAAAATTTGTGCAGTTGATTCATTCGAGCATGGAAGTTCACGGAAAGGGTCATGCAAGTTTAGGTCAATCTTTTGAGAGTTACTCAAATACCAAATACTACAGAAAAGATACAATGCAATGATTACTTTAACCTAAACAATAAATGTCAGAAAGGTGGCACAGATTTTAACTAGTGTAAAGTACAATATCAGGAATTAGTTTTTCATACAAAGCAATCAACATTTGCATGGTCTTATTAAGATGAAAAGGTAGAAGTAAAAACAATGGGAGTGTTTAAGAATCAACCTGGTGCCATGGTGAGGATACAAGAGATAACAAGGTGTACAGCTGGATGAACACAGCCGGCCAAGCAGCATCAGAGGAGCAGGAAAGCTGACGTTTCGGGCCTAGACCCTCCTTCAGAAAGGAGTGAGAATGGGGAGAATGACGGCTGAGATTTTCTAAATGGATAATATAAGAGGCATCAAATAGTTTTCCTCACTTGCATTTATCTTGTGCTTTATTTATGTCTTGTAATGTTTAATCATGGCACTTGCTAAGATTTCTCTCAGACATATGCAACAATTTGTATTTACACTGTATTTTTGATGAAGCAAGACATCTCAGGTCACTTCAGAGACATAATCAAAATACTGAATCCTCCGAGTTGTTGTCCAAAGGCTTGATCAAAAGTATGAATTTACAAAAGGAATTTTAAAGTTGAGAAAGAGTGAATGTTTTAAGGAGAGTATCCCAGAACATGATGCCTAGATACCTCAACGCATGCTTCCAATTATGGGTTGAAGGAAAAGAGAATGCACAAGGCAAAAACCAAAGATGAACAAGTCATTCTTATCCCACCTGTTTAAAAGGTAATGTTAAAGCTTTCTTCAGTCATCCAGGGCTTTTATAATGATCTTGACAATAGGAAAAGGTTGCTTGTGCTTGACTTGACAACAACTTGTTTTAGTAAAAGCTGTACTTCAGGCAATCCTTTGCTGCAGCTTTCAAATCACAGCATTAATGTCTGAACTGGTATTTCATAATTTTGCTATTGTAATGCATCTTAAATATTAAAGCTGCAAAATTAACAGCTTAAACGTGTTGTTTTAAATGGCAGATACCGAATAAATGGGATATGAGAGGATGTTGAAAACATTTTTTTTCTCAAAATATCAACGATACAATATCATACCAGCAAAATAAAAATAATGCTGGTTTTCAGTGGTCTTTTTATTCAGAAAGCTATTCACTCGATGTCTGCAGCAGTTAAGCTTTTATCAATAACATCACAGTCGGCAGGGTTCATCTAAACAACAAGTCCTTTTAATCCTACTCTGCAAAAATGCTACAAGCCTGTCGGCTACTTTTTGGCATAGTGTCTTAAAATTTGCTTTAAACAACTCTCAATATTGTATGTTCAATCATATCAAGAGTTTTCTTTTTTACCTAGCTAAGAATCTTGGCTGCTAACTGATTTGCAATCTTTATAAGCAAAACATGACTCCATTTTTTAAAATGACTGTAGCTAAAGTTTCAGAATGCACGGCAAGATTGAAAAAGTAATACCTTCCTAAAACAATTTGGTTTTAGTAAATCACTTACTTTGTACCTAATAGATTGCAGTACATATTTTAAAATGCTCTTCAAAATTTGTTAATATGCACACTATGATAACTCAAACATTGACAACTGAAAATTTGAAAAGGATTATGCTAAAAGGTCAAACTTTAATGTTATAAGTAGTACTCTATGCGTTGCTCTGAAGAAGAGTCATATTGGACTTGAAACGTTAACTATTTCACTCTTTGTAGATGCTGCCAGAACCACTGAGTTTTCCGGTACTTTGCTTTTAATTTTGTGCTTTCAGATGTCGTCAAAGATGAAAAGCGTAGCAAGGATATATCCTTGAGGGACTCTTAGAGGTATTAATGTAAGTTTGGAAAGTCACTGCAGGTAATTTTTATAGTTTGACTGGATAGATGAGAATTGGGCCAGATAAAGGCTGACATATCCAACTGGACATCAAATGGAGTTGGAGAAGGATTGTACGGTCAACCTGGTCGCATGCTGCAGACAGGCCTAGAAGGGTAAGGAGGGATTGATTACCACTGCTACAGTCATTTGTAACTAAGATAAAGGTTGCTACAGCAGGAGTGGAAAATTGATTGGAGTGATTCAAAGGGGGACTTGTAAGAAAGGTATCTCTGGATTCAGGAGGCAAACATGCATTCAACGATTTAGGACAGAAAAGAGGAAGTTGGAGCTGATGTGTGGAGAGGAAGGCAGGAGGCAAGGCAAGGATTTTTATTTTAAATTATGGGTAATCATTATGCAGACTTAAAGGGATGGCAAAATACCTGAGGAATCAGAACCACTAATGATACCAACGAACCTGGAGGGAAATTTAGTACTAACCGTCCTAGTGGGAAAAAGGGGGTTGGGAAGTGAACTTTATAGATAAGAGTAACTTAGAAAGGGGAAGTTGGAAAATAGAAACAGCTGAAAATAGTAATCATGTACCGGTACAGAAACTGTTTTTTTTCAAGTTAAGGAATAGACAGAAGCAGCAAAGGGAACAGAATGGGAACTGACTGTCAGTGGCAGCCAAGTTCACGATCTTGTTGTACTTATCGGAGCTATTTTCTATTAAAGACTTATAAATTGCTTTTAATGGTTTAAGCTAAATATGATTAACGGTTAAACCAGTTGTCAGCCATAAACATTCAAGTATGCATCCCTTGGAATTAAGGTAACAGATCAAAGTCATAAAGGTGACAAAGGTGAGATAGAGAAATTATTCTAAAAATTACTGGGCATAGGAGCGTCAAGTGTGGATGAGAAACATCAAAACTATTGCATTCTGCTGGCAATTGTAACCTAACGTTTTTTTAATAATATCAGCTTCATAAATTACTCTTCCATTTAACTGGCCTGTCTGCTCATGGTATTTTTCAGCAAAATCCAAGTTTATATATCATCAGTTTAACTTCTAACTTTTAAATATTGCCTTCCTTCATAATAAGACTTTTTTTTAAAAAAAACTGTCACTTGTGATTTGATGGATTTAAAATTTAAAATTCACCAAGAGAACATTAGCCTGCAGGAACCTGAACAAAATACAATCAAAATAGCATGGTGAACTGCTGTTAAAATGTTACTGAACTATCTTAAGATTAGTGTTTAGCACATCATAACAATTAATATAAACTTGAACTATTGGGTTTATTAATTTCATTATTAAGCAGAGAATAAAAGGAAAATCAAACCAACTGTGACCTTTGCTTACTTTAAGCCAATGCATCTATTTTATGAAAAAGTCATGATATAGCTTTATGTCATTATTTACAGCAGCCTTTCACATATTGCCCAATACTTCCATTATTAAAATGAAAGTCACAAAAACACAGCGGTTTTGCTCTTAATCAATTCTATAGTCCCCACCTACAATTCTCTTTTATTTGGAGCACACTATATAAGTACCAAATCTTCTAATATCTTAAATTCACACCTCAAATAATCAAACTGAGAGCTGGCCAAAAATAAGAAACCATGTAGATTCAAGGTGAGATACACAGAAGGTAGCATTGTACGCATGCACATGAAAACTAAATATGGTAGCACTGAAATAGACCATAATAGATCATAATAGATAGGATGGGTTACAATGATCAATATCTACGAAGTGTAAATTATTTTGCTCATAACTACTAGAAGTTAAAACAAGACTGAACGTGCAAACTTTGAAAGATCCAGCATTAACTGTACTTTTTAAACAGGCAATGGAATTTTTACGAAACAGATCAGGGAAGGCGATCAATTCAAAAGAATTGCAATGCTGTGAACACAGACTCTGCGATGTTCTCAAGGACATTTCTATTTCTGCATTCGTCTTTACAGGCTTTCTTTTGAAGGAGCACTCAACAATCCAAAGGATAGATATCCAAAATGAAACATTAACTGGAACAATAATATATTGAGATTACATCATCAAGATGCACAAACACAGTGCAAAGACTATTTTCTGAACACAAATAATTGCATTCTTAATGTATTTATACTTTGCCTTTGCTTTGTTAATTTGATTGAGTGTTTAACAGGAAGCAAAGATCACAGTGCAGGTGAGAATATAACAGCACAGCATTGCTGTTAATAAGTTGTTGAATTCCAATTTCAGAACTAGAATGCTATGTTATTACATCCGTATATTCAAAGTGATTTTATCTCATTGCAGCTTTTGTATTATGTACAGGTATGCTATTCTCCTCTTTCTCGTAATAACAAAAAGTTCTTTTAAACCTTATTTTTTAGTTACGTCAATAGCATTAATGAACAGAAACAGAACGGAGGCAGCAACATGAAACAGGAGTCACAGTAACACATTAGCACACGCTCATCCAAATAGTGTATTAAATATGCTTTACCTGGTCGTGGGACAGGTTGAACAGCAGGAGTTTGAGCCTTTCGAGCAGAAGCACCTTCCTGAAAGATATAACATTTTGAACTTATTCAAACCTTTCTGAAAATGTCCACTGGTTGAAGCCTGAAAATAATTTTAAAATGTGTGAAAATTTGTGAAAAAAAATCATAGAAAAGAACAATATAATTAACACTCATACAGTTGTCATTGTGTTTCAAATGGGAATTGGAAAACATGAGAATAATTGAGCAGTTCAGTCCAATGCTTTTGTGCCTCAAGCTTTCAACCACAGCGAAGAATAACATAATGGAAAAGCAATCTTTCTTACTGATTTCAAATCTGCAGGAAAATGTTGATTAAATCAAAAATGCAAGCTTAATTAAGGCAAATAATAGATAATTTGATACAAATTGACCTGTCCATTGCAAGAGAGGTACATAGATAAATTAAACTGCTTTGATGGTCTATACACTTTTAATTGCTCCAGATTGCCGACCTGTAAACTAAGGTTGAATTCTAAAGGTATACTGAAGTCAGGTGCTGACAGACGTGATGAAACCCAAACTGAGCATCAATGAGCAGGTTATTTCTAACCAAGTGCTGTTTGATACTACTACTGACAACTGCTTCCATCACTTGACTGATCATCGAGAGTAGACATAGTAATATTTGGTTGGGTTGAATTTGTCCTGCCTATGTACAGAACATACCTAGGCAATTTTTCACATTGTCAGGTAGATGGCGATGCCGTAGCTGTACCGGAACAGGTTGGCTTGAGGTGCGGCAAGTTCTGGAGCGCACGTCTTCAGTCAATTGCCAAATGTTGTCAACTCTCAGTGTTTGCAGTATCCAGGACCTTCAATCGTTTCTTGATATCACGTGGAGTGAATCCAATTGGGAAATGACTGGTGTCTAGGATGCCGGCAACCTCTGGAGGCTGCTGAGATGGATCATCCAGTTAACACTTCTGACTGAAGATTGTTGCAAATGCTTCAGCCTTAACTTTCTTATCGATGTGCTGGGTGCGTCCATTATTGAGACTGGGGATATTTGTGGAACAAATGGATTGTTTAATTGTCCTCAACCATTCATGATTGAATGTGGCAAGACTGCAGAGCTTAAGTGTGATCCATTGGTTGTGGAATCAACCAACGCTTTGCATTATTTATATACTCCACTCCCTTTCAAATAAAAGCAAACGGTCCATTTGTCCTCCCTATTACCCACTAAATTTGGATGCTAGCTGCAGCTTTCAGCGGTCTCTCTCCATTTAATTAATATTCAGTTCTCTATTCTTCTTGACAAAGTGCACAATCTCACAGTTTTTCACATTATATTCTACCTGCCAGGTTTTCACCCACTCACCTGACTGGCCTACTTCTGCAGACTCTCTTGGTCATTCTCACTACTTGCTTTCCCACCTGTTTTTGTGTTATCTGCAAACTTTGTTATAGTACATTAACCTCTGTTAGTCATTAATAGATGTTGTAAATAAGTGTGGCCGAAGCACTGATCCTTACTTCACTAGTTATAAGTTGCCATCCAGAAAATGCCTCCCTTTGCCCGACTCTGTATTCTATTAGTTAAATAATCCTCTATCCATGCTAATATCCTTCTCCCCCACCACCATCCCAACACACACAATACCATTGCCTCTTATGTTATAGCTAGCCAAACAAGTGGTACCTTAATGAACACTGCTTGGAAAACTGAATATATTACATCAATTGGTTTTCCTTTATCTGTCCTGCATGTTACCACCTCAAAAGAATTCCAACAAATTTGTCAGGCAGAATTTCCCCCTCATGAAGCCATGCTGACTCTGCTGATTATAGTATGTATTTCTAAATGCTCTACTTTCCCATCCTTTGTGATAGGTGTTAAAGGATGTTCGGCTAACTGACTTATTTATGTCAATAGCATTAATAAACAGAAACAGAATGGAGGCAACAATGAAACTGGAGTCATAGTAACACTTTAGCACATGCTCACACAAATAAATATATTAAATATGATTTTATTAACCTGTATTCTTTTGTCTACTTCCCATTTTGAATGGGAATGTTACACTGGCAGCTTTCTAGTTCTCTGCTACATTTCCTGAACCTAAGGATTCTTGGAAGATGACTACCAATACATCCAGTATTGTAGCTACTTCCTTTAACATCTTAATATGCAGCCCATCAGGTCCAGGGGACTCATTAGCCTTTATCCCCATAACTTTCCCAAGTACTTTTTCTTTGGTGATAGTTACTGTGTTAATTCCCACTCCTCCCCAACTTTTAGACTTTTGATTGGAATGTTATTAGTGCCCTCCACCATGAAAACTGCTGCAAAGTATGCATTCAACTCTTCTACCATTTCCTAATTCCCATGAAAGTCATCACTTTCAGGAATATAATTACATTTTTAAGTGAGGACTTATGGTAATGCTAAATCTTAAAATTGATTATCAATTAAAATTCTACACAACATCATAGATGTATTACGAAAGGTACACATTCTCTAAACCTTTAAGATATCAATTTGAGCATTGCAACAAAGATATAATACTCTTCTGTCTTCATGGAAAGATTTGGGAGAAAAGCTGTTTCAAAAAAAAACATTTAAACACAAACTGAATTCAGACAGGATTTTTAACAAAAATGTCAGGTCTCAGGTATTGATGGGGAAGAAGAACCAGCTTGTGAAATGTACAGCTGACAGTCTATATATCAAACTAATTATTATTGGATAGTTCTCTCATCTCAGCTTTGTTCACACAAGATACCCCACATTCATTTTAAGAATAACAAGATTTCAAGAAAAAAAAATAAACAGCTGGAACAAAGAGAAGCAAGACATTTGACAGGAAGCTGATTTTACTGCCAACCTTTTGATTGAGAACACAATCAGGCAGATAGCCTTCAATTCATTCACTGAACAGAGTAAAGGACATTGAGACACATGTGGAAGTCAGCCAGCCAAAGGATAGAAGGAACAGATGAACTCTGTATTGTAAAGTTTCACAGTGAAACTTACTCAGCTTCAGCCAGCATCAAAGTCAGAAAACTCAAGAAAACATTTATACATATATACACATCATCCCTGTTGTGGATTTTCTTAATGTATCTTGACCTTATGAGGAGTTTTGTAATTGGTTAAATAATGGTGAGGTTCAGTTTGAATGGTATTTCTCTACATTCATCTGTTTAGAAAAGCCAATTTAATAATCTACATTTTTTGTCTCAATTATTGTTTCAGTTTGCCAACAGAAAACTTGAAGAGCGATAAGCAAAAAAAAAAAAAGAGGAAATCAAGATCCTTGAGAGATCTTATGTTATAGCCCTAACAGATGCAACGGTATCCCCAGGTTATGCTAGAGTACATTTAGAAGTTGGCCAGTATGAGCACACTCTAAGTAAGTCAATCCAATCAGACGGTGTATAGTGAGTTTGGAAATCACTGTATCTGAAAGCTTATCCACCACAGATGCAAAACTTTTAACAGTTGTAAATAGACCAGCTTAGAAGTTCAGAGTGTACAAATCTTTAAATTCTTCCTCGACCGTAAGAGAGAAAAATTAACTCGGATTAGAAACAATAAAGTTGAGGATCGATAAGTGGAAGTCAGCATGTATTATCAAACATATGACATACATTAGTCTTCCATTACATAGGAGTTACAGCAAAGATTATTCTTGGGTCTCTGCTAATCCTCTGTTCAAACATTCACACCCATATATGTGCATACATATACAGTGCAAAGAAGAATGGAAACAAATCATTTCTCTGAACAACTCAGTAGTGGGTGACCTTTCACTTTTGCCTACAAATATACGAACTTTCACACAGCAGTAATAAAAATATAAGGTTTTCCTTATACAAGCAGTTTTTAATTATTTTAAAAAAACCTAATCCTATTCATTCTGTGATTACATGAGAAATTTCCGATGGAAAACATTTATATCAATGCAATGTGCTGTAAATACCAGTCATACCAAAATTCATCAGATGATGCAATGATATTAACCATCGCAGCAAAAATGCTTGGAACAATGGATTGGGCATTGATATCCATAAACTTAGCTCCCAAACTAAACTGCATTCTGTGGAAAGGCATCAAGCAGAGTCTGTGGTATTTACCTTCTGGTGTTGAAAGGAGTGTTAGTGGAATTAAAATGTCACAACATTACTGACGGCTCTGGTGCCTGGTTTGAGGAGGTAGCTCAATAGAATCATTTGTGGTCAAAGTAAGAGTGGTGGTGGCGGGTATGACTACCCTTATGATACAAATAGCTAGTAGAAATACAGAATTTCTAAAAATCTCCTCAAAGTTCGAACTTCAATTTGATTCCCATGTGCAAAAAGAATTTTATACTTTCTAATGCCAATCACAAATTCATTAAGGGGCCAGAACATTCTTTTCCCAATGTCCCCTGAACACATCAGTCATCTTGCTCATGTAGAAATGTAAACATGTTTCATAATAGCTATTTCCCCAAGAATTAGCAGTATGGTTAGATGAAAACATCTCACAATGGTGAAATCAGTTACTGGTGTTATATATCATGTTTATTTATTAATAGGAGCTTTTGATCAAACCTATGGTGATTATTTTTGAAAATGCAGCGTGTTATCACAATTCTATTAGTTAGTTCAAAATGAAAAAAAAAGTACAAATCTGCTAAGTTACACATGAGACACAACAATAAGTTAAATACCTTAATACCAGAATGGCTAAACAGCAGTTCTCTGCTTTACTGGCTATTACTTGATGCCCTATTAATTGGGCACCTTTCTCATTTCAATAGCAAAATAGATGCTGGTAGATAGCTTGTTTACAGCTAGATCTTGAATATATGCAAGTACTATTTTACACTGCTCAAAGTTATACTTTAATTTAAAATTCATATGAGGATGACAGAAATGGGAAGACAAGAAAGCCGCCAATGATTAAGTGAGCATCAAGGACATGTATTAAAGACCTTGCAAGATAATAATGCGTTAACTCTCTAGAGCCAAAAAGAAAGATCTGTAGAGGGAATTAGTGCTACAGCAGTACTCCTATAAAAAGCATTGAA